GAAACAGTAATAAAAAATATCACAAAAAACAGAAGTCCAGGACCAGACAAATTCAGTGGTGAATTCTACCATTCAAAGAAGAATCTCAAACTCTTCCAAAAAAATCGAAGACAAGGGAATGCTTCCTAACACACTTTATGAGGCCAGCACTACCCTGATACCAAAACCAGACAAGAACAACACAAAAAAAGAAAATTATAGGCCAATGTCTCTGATGAACATAGATGCAAAAATTCTCAACAAAATATTAGCAAACCAAATACAACAATACATTAAAAGGATCATACACCATGATCAAGTGGGATTTATTCTAAGGATGCAAGGGTGAGTCAACATTCGCAAATCAATCAATATGATACATCACATAAACAAAAAAAGGATACAAATCATATGAGCATCTCAATAGAGGCAGAAAAAGCATTTGACAAGATTCAACATCCATTTATGATAAAACTCTGAATAAAATGAATAATGGCCATAAATGACATATATGTCAAACCCAGCTAACATCATACTGAACAGTGAGAAACAAAGCTTTTTCTCTTAGATTAGGAACAAGAAAAGGATGCCACTCTCACCACTCTTACTTAACATAGTAGTGCAAGAATTAACATTGTTAAAATGTCCATAATTACCTAAAGCAATCTACAGATTCAATGCAATCCCTATCAAAATCCCAACATTTTTCACAGAAATAGAATTTAAAAGTCCTAAAATTTGTATGGAACCACAGAAGGGCTTGAATAGCCAAAGCAATTCTGAGAAAAAAGAACAAAGCTGGAGGTGTCACACTCCCTAATTTCAAATTATACTACAAAGCTACAGTAATCAAAACATATATAAAGAAGTCAAACAGGGACTTCCCTGTGGCACAGTGGTTAAGAATCCACCTGCCAATGAAGGGGACACAAGTTTGATCCCTGGTCTGGGAAGATCCCACATGCCGCGGAGCAACTAAGCCCATGTGCCACAACTACGGAAGCCCGCGCGCCCAGAGCCCATGCTCCGCAACAAGAGAAGCCACCACAATGAGAAGCCCACACACCGCAACGAGTAGCCCCCACTCACCTCAACTAGAGAAAGCCTGCGTGCAGCAACGAAGACCCAACGCAGCCAAAAATAAATTAATTAATTTAAAAAAAAATTCACACAACTCAACAACAAAAATTTTCTAAATGGACAGAGAGCTAAGTAGAAATTCCAGAAATGACATACATATGGCCAACAGGCACATGAAAAGATGTTCAACATTACTAATTATTAGGGAAATGTAAAGCAAAACCACAATAAGATATCAGCTCATGCCTGTTAGAATAACTATTATAAAAAAGACAGGCAACAACAAGTACTGGTGAGGGTGCAGAGGAAAGGAACCCTCATACACTGTTGGTGGGAATGTAAATAAAAAGTATGGAGATTCCTCAAAAATTAATAATAGAACTACCATATGATCCAACTATTCCGCTTCTGGGTATTTATCCAAAGGTTATGAAAACACTAATTCAAAAAGATATATGCACCCCTATGTTCATTGCAACATTATTTACAATAGCCAAGATATGGAAACAATCTAAGTGCACATTAACAGATGAATGGATAAGATGTCTCACACACACACACACACACACACACACACACACACACACACACACAGTGGAATACTACTCAGCCATAAAAAATATGAAATCTTGACATTTGCAAAAATATGAATGGACCTTGAGGGTATTATGCTAAGTGAAATAAGTCAGATGGAGAAAGATAAATACAGTATGATTTCACTCATATATGCAATATAAAAAATACAAAATAAATGAACAAACAGAACAAAACAAAAATAAACACAGATAACAGAGAGCCAACAGATTAGTGGTTATCAGAGGGGAAGGAGGGATGGGGCAGGGAAGAACGGGTAAGGAGAATCAACTGTATGGTGATGAATGGAAACAAGATTTTTGGTGGTGAGAACACTATGGTATACACAGAAGTCGAATTATAATGTTGTACACATGAAACTTATATAGTTATAAACCAATGTTACATCAATTTAAAAAATGTGCAAAGACTCTAACAGACATTTGTCCAAAGAAGATACACAAATAACCAATAGGCACATGGAAAGCTTCTCAATATCATTAACCTTCAAGGAAATGCAAAGCAAAACCACAATAAGATACCACATCACCCCCACTAGGAGGGCTATAATCAAAAAGATAGTAACAAGTGTTGGCAAGAAGGTATTCAAACTGAAACCCTCACACACTGCTAGTGAGAATGTAAAATGGTGCAGTCACTTTGCATAATGTTTGGTAATTCCTCAAAATGGTAAACGTAGAATTACCATAAGATTTAGCAGTTCCACTCCTAGGTATCTAGCTAAGAGATATGTAAACATGTATCTACACAAAAACTTGTACATGAATGTTCATAGCAGCACTATTCATAATAACCCCAAAGTGAAAACAATCCAAATGTCCATCAGCTGATAAACGTATAATTGGGGTATACACACTGGAAAATTATTTGTCAATAAAAAGAATGAAGTATTGATACATGCTACAACATGGATGAACCTTGAAAACATTACGCTAAAGAATCCAGAAACAAAAAAAATCACATACTGTATGATTCTATTTATATGATATATCCAGAATAGGTAAGTCCCTAAATACAGAAAGTAAATTAGTGGTTGCCTGGGACTGGAGGTAGGGGCAGGGGAAATGGAAAGTAATGGCTAATGGGTATGGAGTTTCTTTTGGTGTGATAAAAATGTTCTAATCAATTGTGGTAATGATTGTGTATTTCTGTGAATATACAAAAAAATTTATTGTACATTTTAAATGGGTGAATTTTATGGTGTGTGAATTATGTAAAAGTAAAACTGTTTTTTAAAAAGGTAAAAAAACAAAAAAAAAAGAATAAATCTTCTCTCAAGAAAACGTCAGGCTCCTGAGATTTTACTGGCAAGTTCTATCAAATAGCTAAGGAACAGAAATAGTAGGACTTCCCTGATGGCACAGTGATTAAGAATCCACCTGCCAATGCAGGGGACACAGGTTCGAGCCTGGTCCGGGAAGATCCCGCATGCCACAGAGCAACTAAGCCCGTGTGCCGCAACTACTGAGTCCGCAAGCCACAACCACTGAAGCTCGCATGCCTAGAGCCCGTGCTCCGCAATAAGAGAAGCCACTGCAATGAGAAGCCTGCACACCACAACGAAGAGTAGCCCTGCTCGCCACAACCAGAAAAAGCAACGAAGACCCAATGCAGCCAATTAATTAATTAATTAATTTTTAAAAGAAAGGAATAGAAATAGTAATCTTTCCATAAACTCTTCCAGAGAATAGAAGAGGGAACACTGCCCAATTTATGAGGGTAACACAAATTTCATAGTGAAAATAGTCAAGAAAGGAGTGTGAAAGGCTGAACTTTCTCAAGAGCAGAAATTCTTTTCAAAAATTAGCAAATCAAATCTAGCAATAATTATATCATGAGCAAATTGTGAAGGAATGCAAGGTGAGAAAACTAATTGATTTACCAGATTAACCAGCTGAGGAACAATTGATAGGAACAATCTCATGATTATTATGGTAGCTGGAGAATTGACATCCATCCCCCTCACCACCAACCCCCGACACGTCTGGCCAAAGGGGGCTCTCTTTGAGAAACACGTGCAATGTCTTTCAGAAGAGTGTCCTGTGGTGTTAAAGGCAAGATGACCTGGAGAGGTGGCAGGCAGGATAGTTTACTGAAATATTTGTGTTTTGTCATTGCTTCTTCAGAGGAATGAAAAAAAGACACCAACTATTTTGTTGCCTTGTTCTTTTGTTTTTCCCCTCTCGCTCCAAGGGGGTGGGGGGTTCTTTGTGCTCCCCTGCTTTAGTGGAATTCTGTGTTACAGGGATGAAAGCAAAAGGTTATCAAAGTATGAGGTCCTTGAGGAGATGAGGCTGCAGAAGTAAGAGAAATTGTCCTTGTTAGGGGAAATGGAAGCAGCAAGAAGAACAGGAAGAGTCCCATAATTGGGAAGGATGCTGTTGTGTCTTACAAGTCAAGGACCACACCCACACCCTCGCAGTGCCCAGGCAGGTGTTGGGGGGGAGGGGGGAGATAAGACCTAGGAAGGCAAAGGCTGCCGGGCATACCAGGGAGGCTGGGCCCAGGCATCAAAGCTCCCAGGAGCAGCAAAGATGCCAAAGAAGAAAGTGAGCCTATGGGCAGCAGAGCTCTGCCCTCAGTTTCCAAGATCGGGTAAACTTCCCTGGTTCTCCTGCGACCCGACAGCATCCCCCAGCCCTGTATTGAGTTGGATTGGTTTTCTGCCAGCTCTCAGGGTGGGGGTGGGTGAACGGGGAGAGGGGCTTGAAAACAAAGTTAACTTGATTTAAAGAAAAGACAGTCTGCTTTCACCAGCAAAGCCCTCTGGGGTCCCTAGGAAAAACAAAATGGAATCTAGGTGATAAAATAAGGTCTCACCTCCTCTCCTGTGTCCTCTCCTCTAGTTTCACTTGCTCATAGGGTACTGCACACAGAGGCCCACACCACGCACCTCAGACCAGAGCTCCTAGTGCGAAACGGCTGCACGGGACACTGCAGCCCGTGGATCGTGCGCAGAAGCGCTGCATACGATATTCAATTAAAGATGGCGGCGGTGAGCTGTGTGCAGAGACGCTGCACCCGGCACTGCGATCTCCGCCCCCTCCCCCTCCACTCTAGATCCCTAAACGGCAGCCCCACCCCTGGCCTGTCAGGAGAGCAAGTGAGTTGGCACCTCTCCATTCTCTGATAAAAGAAGAAAGCTTTCCTTTGCTTCTGAATCCAACTCCGTCTCGTTCTATTTGCTGGAACAACGCCGGGCGGGGACACCTACTCTGAAGAATAAGTAACAACGTGACGGTTCCTCACACCCAGTTTGTACTACGCATGCGCGGGGTGCTTACGTAGGACTCGGGAGACAGAGATACACTGATTACAGATTAGGGAAGCAGGCAGCAAAGCTCTACCTGTCCTCCAGGTCTGGCCACTGCTTGAAGTTTCCCTGGGGGTCACTGCCGGCTTCTCCCTTCTGAGCGTCCACAACCGCCTCCTGCCTCGCCCTCGGGGAGTCCTTCAGGTCCTTGCACAGGTGGAGGGTGCCTCGGGCCATGCTGTCCAGGAAGCTGAGGATCTGGAGGCAGCTCTGTATCTTGGGTGGGAGTGGGCTGGCAGAGGAAAAAGCCGCACTCATCAAATCGGCAAATGGCCTGGCCTTTGTGTCCTCCCAGGAGTGCGGAGGAGCGCCCTCTTCCTCCAGGGCCCCGAAACAGCCCAGCAAGCAGAGGTCCTCTGCCAGCTTCTCAAACAGCCCGGTCCTCCTAAAGAAGTCACCGTTGACGGGGTCCAGGTACAGTGCTGCAGACACAGCACAGAGGGTGTGCAGGACCAGGTCCAGGGTCTGGCTGGGGGACACTGCCCCCCAGGTCTGCAGTGGGGGCTCCCGGAGAGACCCCTCCAGGTCAGAGAGCAGGGACAGCAGCCCATTGAACCCACTGGAGACTCTGAAAGCAGCACGGCCTTTGGGGGTCTCCAGGATCCGGAGCAAAGACTGAAACCAATGAGATACAAGTGAGTGAAATGGAGGAGGCAGATCTTTAACGCTGAGCTCCCCACCCATCCCTGCCAAAGCGTTCCGGGTGCTCTTCTGCGCTCCACTCCGTAGGAACAGCGAGCTACCGATGCGCGCCTTTGAAACACTGGGAGGTCAGTACCATTCCTCTTACTTTTCGTTTTGGGTTGTGCCTCAGTGTTTTCATTCAAATGGCTGCTCTTAAAGGCTATGCTGCTTTATAGGGTTGACTTACAGTCCTGTATCTTGACTTAAATGCATCTCCCTCCACAAAGCTTTCCCTGACCCTTAGCTTGTTCTCATCCCAGGCTGAGTGCTCACACCTCTAAATCCCCAGTCAAAACTCTCACCACACTGTGTTGAAGCTACTTGAAAATTGTCTCAGCCTTCCGCTGCATTGAAGCCCCATGAAATCAGGCTTGCTCACTGCTGTGGAACATAGCACCTACTTAATAAATATTTGCTAAACTTATGGAATGAACCATTTCCTGTATTGCAAAAGGAGACTCAGTGAAATCTATATAAAGCAACTTATTACTATTTACCTCCCTCTCTGTGCAAGCACAGATACTTCTAATAAATGAAAGATAGTCAAACAAATCTACTTAAAACCTGGTGTGAAAATATGAGGAGATTAAGGTGGAGAAGAGAAATCCTAATGGAAGGAAACATGTAGATATAGCATATAATATAGACCGTGTGTGGAGTTTAGGCTATTACAACACACATATGCAATCTACCTTCTACAGATTGCTGAGATTTTTACTGGACAGCCAAACTTTTAATTCCTTCTAAAATCAAATATTTACTAAGCACTTCCAATGTACTATTCATTGAGCCCTGTGCATGATATACAGTAGGTATTCAATAAATGTTTCGGAAGGAAAGAAGGACTACATTTAAGAAGTTATCATTCTGTGCTAAAGTTTCACACCTAAAAGTGAGGAATGCATGGATGATCTTAGATAAATATCAAAAGCCTCTAACTTTTGGTATTTAGTTATTTACTATTCATGAAAATAGCATGAGACTGCATCGAAGACCCAGGCTTCTTAGGCATGTTTCCCAGAGAATGGCCAGTCCCTGTAGTTTTGCTCTGGAGGAAGATTTGAATTGTTTTGTCCTTTCAAATGTTTAGTGTTCAGTGACACAAGAAAGAGGATTGTCCGGGCAGGCACAACTTAAAGTCAATTTCAGGATGCTTGAAACAAGTTTCAAAACATAAAAAGAAATTCCCAATTTGAGAGAGAGGGGGTGATGCTGTGTCTTAAATGCATGGTTTAGGGTGACAGTCTATAGCATAATGCATGAAAGTCCATTGACAAAGAGAAAACTGGTGGGTCAGAAAAAAGGAGGGAAGGGATTAGATTTTTAAATTCTCATATAGATAAAGTCAAATAGAAATTCAGTAAAGTTACAGGTAGCTATGAAATATGAAGTCATGCACTTTGCGGGACAAAGGTAATTTTCTACCTCTAGCTCTAAAATGCTGGTAACCCTAACCTAACACTAGAGTTTATCTGAAACAGTATAATGTGTACCCCTAACACCCAAATTCTGTTATCTAATATTATATTCTGCTACACGAAGCCTGAGCTGCTTGGCAGGCAGTCAACCCAAGCTTGGGGTAAGAAAGCACAAAATGAGCCAGGACTAAGTAAATGCATACAGGCAAGGCTCTTTCAAAGACGGAGAGAAATGATGACCAAGGCGCTGCTTAACGTGCTCCCACGGCCCCATCCATGACATTTCAAGAAATTAAAAACAAAGATTGTAGAAACTAGGAGAATCTGTAAAAGGCCAAAGGCCACGATTATGTTCAAAGTGGACAAATTATATAGAGTGATGTAGAAAGATTCATCCTTACCAGTGTGGGTCAGTTGATCTTTTCCCAGTTATAGGAGAAAACAATGCATGACTTATGGTGGTTAATAGATCAAAGACTACCCACCACAGCTCAGGGGGTGACTGTGGGGAAATTGAATTGTCATTTTGTTCTTTAAAAGAAACAGCATCAGGGCCGTGCACTAACGGGGGATCAAATGAGAGTGGTGGGATAGACTTCAGGGAAATGGGCTTTCCAGACTGCCTGAAAGCTAGAAGCAAAAGTGAAAACATTAAGGACCAGGCAGTGACAACTGCTTTCTCCTCCTGGGTGAGGATATGACTCAACTACTTCTGAATTTGGCTCAAAACCCAGAAAAGTTTGATATTTGTAGACAGGTCCTTAAAGAGAAGATTGTATATAGACTGTTAGAGCAGATTCTTCAGAATAGTGACATTTGGTGAATGTAAAACCTTACGGTTTAGCAACACAGAGCTTTCTAGACTAGGCACGGCCTTTCTCTTTATAGACTGCATCACCACAGCTGCCTTCCCCAAACCCCACCCCCAACCCCAGGACACTGGGGCCAGTCCTCTGTGCCTGCCTTGTGTGAGCAACTCACTCCGCACAGAATATTGTTTCTTTGGTCAAGTTGGAAATGAACTCTAACCTTGAAGTGCGTGTGGTGGTGGTAGTTTCTTCCTGCCAACTGATAATCCACACAAAAGGCTGAACATTAATGTGTGGTACAGCGTGCATTGCATTGTGTGTCTCGACCTGTCTCAATGTGACTCGTGCCGTGGAAAATAAATACATCACCGAGACATCAGGAAGTCTTAAGCTGTGAAACTGTAGACTGTCTAGATTTATGTGAGTGTTTTCAGTGGCTCCTAAAACTACGATGAGGTTGTCCAAGGCAAATGGAATGAATGGAGCTCTTCTGTTTATCACATGACGTGTGACAAAACAAACACCCAAAAGAGAGAATAATTAAAAAATAAAACTAATCAGATTAGAGCAATTGTCTAAGTGCTGGATGACCACTAAAACCCCCCTCTTTCCTTAAGAAACAATCTTCCAGTTGTCCAAGTTGACACCAGACGTTGCTCAGAAGGTCTCCATCATTCAAGGAATGTTGAGAGCAGATATTTTAAAAAGAAAGCAAACCAGTAATAGTGTCTGTGTCTCTCAGAGGGCCTATCCTCTGTAATTCCTAGACGGTTCTTTTCTCCTCCTGTTGGGAGGGGTGGAGAAAAAAGCAATGGCTGACCTTAATTGTTGCTTTGTTTGATTTATTAAATTCAAAGTCATTATCTAAAATGGGGGTAATCTCATTAGAACTTAGACTGCTCTATTATTTCTTGGGATGGGGTTAATTTCATATTTGCAGAGTCATAAAGTAAAGAGCCCCAAATCCAATTACAAAGGCTTAATTTCATAGCAACTAAAGAGAAACATTTCTATCATAAAGGAAAATAAATACTGCACTACTTCGGGAAACGATTTGTCAGGAACTGGGGACCTGGGAGGAGGGTCTCCATTACTGTCATTCAACTTTGCATGTTAATGCATCACCTAGGCTTGAGAGTCTACGGAAGGGAGTAAATTTAATCAGCTGAAGTCAAAGTAATCAGGCTAGGGTTGACACATTTCAAGAAAGGTCAGCGTTAAGCACATTTTCTCCTCCTTAACTCAGTTACCATGTCATCCTCTCTGAGTTAGTATTCCTCAAGCTTGAATCTATAAAATGGATGTCTGCTGCAAAGCGCTAACTACGTTAGGACTAACAGGATTTATTTCACATTCTATTATTTGTTATTCCTCATAATTTTCCATGTGTCATGCTGGAGGACCGGTGAGGTAATGCGATTAAGCTCAGAGTTGAACAGCTAAATGTATATTAGCAAATCAATCTGAATTTGTGCATAACCCAATCACAGTCCCACTGGCCATGGAGAGGAAATTCATTTGCTTACATTATTCTTTAACTCGGTTATCATTTGCCAGAATTAGGTGGTGAAGTCACATGTGCCTCTGTATTGGTATGGAAGCACCACTGGATTTTGGGAGCAACTGCCTTAAGTCACATGTTTCTGGAGGATTTTTCTCCTCCAGAGCAGCTGGCTGATTCTCAGGGAAGGGAAATCAGGGTGGCACCATGATGTGAATACACTTCAGAGATGACAAACCTTTATTGGGTGGTGAGGCAGGGAGTCCTGCCTTTGAAGTCCCCTCCCTCCACCACTTTCACCTCATCCTACATCTGACCCACTTTGCAGGCACAGCGCTTTGGGCAGAGTCCACTGTCAACTGCCAAAAAAAGGAAATCTAGCCAGAAAGAACTAATTTTACATCTTTGTTTCCCAAGGGGTTCCCAAAGTGATGTAGAGCAAAGGCAGATCCCACATCAGATTCCAGCAAACGTTGGCTAGTTGCTCACACGACTCAGTGGTGGGCAAGGCTGGAACAGGCTCTGGGGCCCAATCCTTCCCCACCACCCACGGGAGCTACAACGTGTTATCACCCTAGTCCTGGAAGAACAATGGCGGCTCTGGGCACCCTCCCAACTGCCCAGCAGTGACTTGGTACCCAGGGAGAAGACAGCACATTGAATGCGGGGTATGGCTCTGTTAAATAAGCTTACACAGTGTTCATCCCTGATGTGCTCTGCTGATAGTGTGATTCTGAAATGATATTGAATCTTGTAAAACACCATAATGGCTTTACATTGCTAATTCTAGAAATTCAGTCCTATTACCCAAGGACTGTCACTCCAATAAGGTGCTTCTGGGCTATAGAATAAGCAAGATGAACTTTTCAAGAGCAAAGCAGAGAGCTTTTCTATAATGGACACAAAAACACTTGTGCTCTCCAAAACTTTTCTCTCCATGAATCTGTTTGACTTTCAATATGAGAATGTCAGAAATAGATAGGGCTTCCAATTATTCACCCAATAGAAAACCAAAGTCCTAACTGCCTTGCTCTCTGCCTTCCCTGTTCATTATTAGAATAAGGCTCTTGTGAATTAAGCTGAACACAGACATATGAGAAAAAATGCAACAAACAGCAAAATGAAGAGGAAAAATCACCAGATTTTAAATCACTAGTCTTAGATCCAAACTCAACTTCACCATTCAGTATTAGAATCTCTCGGGGCCTATCTCTGCCCAATATTAAGATAGGACCACATGAAGCTAAGGTGCACTCCAGCTGTAAACTGTCATTAATTCTTGATATCTCTCTCCCTTACTCTCCCGTTTACATGCTCCCCTCAATCCTGTTACTTCACATAATCATGGGACTCCAGTGTCTTTCAAAAGACCTTTAACTTTCCTTTTTTGTTTCTTCACCTTCACTGATTCTTTGACCCTGTGATTAAATCGCTGTTTTGGTTCTTGTCATCTGCGAAATACATGATAACTATGGTCATAATGCCACTTCTGGATGGGATTCTCATGACACATTGGCCATGCTGAACTCCACAGGATTAGGTCATGAGAAGACATGAATACAGTTGCATCAGTGCCTGACATTGGCTCTGCTGAGAAATAAAGTAGGTAAAATAAACTGAATGCCATTCTCTAACTGGTAAAATGGTTTTGTACAGAGATAGTCATAGCTAAATAAGGTTGAGGGTTTAATTTTGGAAATCAGAGCAACTTCGTATTGTATAAAATTCACCAGTGATCCAGAGTGGCATGATAATGAAACATGAGTGTGTATTGCATAGGGGGTTCTTTTGCACATAGACATGACAGGTCCCCAAGTCAGTTCCTTGGGAGATATTTGCATTTACATCTGCTCTTCTCTTAAACAGCATAAACAAAAGAAAGGGGATTTTTTTTTTCTTTTAAGGCATAAGCCCGCAAAGACAAAAGAAATGGAAAAGCAGGAACAGCAACAAAATTGTGAGAGCTGTAAGGCTGATGTTTATTATCATCTTTAACTGTTTTAAGATAACTTGATGATTATTAACAATATTACAAAAACAAAAATATATGCTTCTCTTTGTCGTCCAAAGGTGACAGCCTAGTTTTACTTCTCCCTTTGTAACCACTGTTCCTGTGCCTTTGACTGCCTTTTGCTTCCTCTTCCCAGTTCAGGTGTTCCCTCCTCTGTGAGCCTTCCTCAAACACGTAAGGCAGCATTGGTCTCTCCTACTTCTCTGTTCCCATGGCAGCCTGCCTTCAACCTCTGGGGCATTACCGTGCTGCATCACCATGACTGCTTACTTACTATTAGCCCTAGTCTACGAGCTACCAGTTGGCAAGGGCTGAATCTCATACGACAGTGTGTCCTGAGCACTCTGCATCAGACCTGGTAACTGGTAGATGCTCACTAAATGCTGGGCAAGTAAACAAGGCTGCTGTTTGGCCACCACCAATTTGGGCTCCACTTCCATAGTTTACAGTGTGGCTGGGAAGTAGCTGCCCAGCTAGGGACTACATTTCCTGGCATGTCTTGCATCCAGATGAGTCCTGCCCAGATAAACTCGGACAGAAGTTAGCACGCACCAGTTTTAGGCCTGAAAAAGAACGTGTGCCATTTTCTCTGCTCTCCCTTCCTTTGTCTGATGGCTGGATTAGATGCCCAGGTGACTGCTGTCCCTGAATGACACTCCTCCCAATCACTGATTGGACAGTACGTAAGAAAGAAACCTCTAATGTGCCAGGCTATTGAGGATGGGGGATTGATTTGCCACAGCAGCCAGTAGTACTCTACCTGTGTGATGCAGTGACCAACTAAATGAATGAATGCGTGGGCAAATGCCGATCACCTGCTGCATGTCCATGGGAAACCCATCACAAAGGAGGACTTGACATCACCTTCAGGAGATCCAGTTTCAGCTGCAGTTCCCCTTGAGTGGACGAGCACAAAGCGCCCACGATGATGCTCATGTACTCCTCGGCGTTGATGACTGAGAGCTGCTCCAAGATGCTGAGTGAGGCTCCCCGGTAGCACTCATCGTCCAGGAAGATCTTGATGAAGGGCACCATGCCGTGGTCTTTCAGGACAACTGGGGACCAGACAGAGAGTATGGGGCTAGAGCGATGGGGGCCTTGGCACCTTAGCTTCAATTACAAGGAAAGCTTTTCCTCACAATTTCCAAGTTTGTTTGACTACATGTGTATGTGTTTTTTCCACGCATTAGAAAATTTTTTTTCAAAATCCATACCTACTGTTAAAATAAGAAGAGGAAGAGAGAAACTATGGAGCTGAGAATTAGAAAGAAAAACCGGTTTCTTCTCCAGTGAGAATTCTGTTTTTGAAAAAAAGTTTCCCCCTTTTCTATTTTTAGAGACGTAAGTAATACAAACTTTAATTGGATGTAGCTCTGGTATTTATTTCCACATAATCCCCTAATCCAGGGCCAATGGCAATTCTCTCTTATCTCTGCCCAAATTCTTATTGAAAGCAAACCAGAATTTAAGAGTATGTTTAACTCGTAGGTAGTTTCTTGTGGCAAGGTAGGCAGCAGGCAGGATTTAAGAAATTTGGCTAACGGTATGTTTTTGTTTAAAAGTAATCCTAAGAATTTCTTCCCCAGGATTGATCTTTGAAGTAATCACATGTAGAATAAGAACTAGGAATTCACTGGATCGTTCAAATGGTATGACATGGACTTGAGCTGGTCAACTCCATAAGGCAGGATTTCCCCAGTTATGGGCCAGGTACCCCTTACATGGAAATCACCTTGGAAGCCTGTTTACAAGTAGATTACTAGGCTCTACCTTGACCTGATAATTAGATCTCTGGGAGGGAGCTTAGGAATATGCACCTCCCTATTAACCAGAACCTCCAGGGAATCTCTTATAGTCTAACATTAGAGATGCTCTACCATAATGAAATAATCATTCACATTCGGTATAGTTGACCTGTGAGGGCCTCAGATAAATATGCACCAAATCACCAAACCCACTGATGTCACTTTGCTGACGCCTCTGCTTCATAGTATAATATACATGCATTTATATTTTAGGCACGTATTTTTTAAGCATGAGAGCCACATGATCTTAGGAAGCTAAAATTTTTTTGAATGGATGAAGGTACTAAATCCATCATGGGCTGAAAGCACATCAAATTATGTCTCTTAAAAATGATGAGCTTTTGGGCTTCCCTGGTGGCGCAGTGGTTGAGAGTCCGCCTGCCGATGCAGGGGACACGGGTTCATGCCCTGGTCCGGTAGGATCCCACATGCCGTGGAGCGGCTGGGCCCATGAGCCATGGCCGCTGAGCCTGCGCGTCCGGAGCCTGTGCTCCGCAACGGGAGAGGCCACAACAGTGAGAGGCCCGCATACCGAAAAAAAAAAAAAAAATGATGAGTTTTCTTTGCCTGTATTTTACAATTTGAATCTTTTTTAAAAAGTATCTATAGTCAGTGCAGCAGTATATTAAAAGATTTTACTTGAGAGAGATGGGGTTTCTGTGGTCTCATAAATTTAAGATAACTCTTTGATTCCCAGCCTTATTTAGCAACTAAACAGTAAAAAGTGTCAACTGATGTGTCTACCAATTTACTGTTGATCCCTGAACATCAACCAGTGAATGGACATCAGCCACAGCGATAGTGTTGGTTATTCCTTGGATATAGCCTTTGAACAATGACATAAATCACCAGGAAATAGTTAATGTTTTCCCAACCAGTGACGAGGTGAATTTGATACCATCCTTACCTGCATTCCGAACTGATCCTTTCAGAAGCGTGACCACAGTTCTCAGCATCACACAAGTCAGTTCTCTTTCTATATCCTGAACTCCAGGATTGGACTCTTTGTTTCCTGCCATATTTAAGAAGCAATGAAGAAACATTTTTAAGTACATGTGATATGGCCCCAACTCTCCAATTCCATGAGTTTCCTATCCTCTTAAAGAAAGATGAGTATCATGCTTCCATTATAAAGGAGTGTGCATCCCAATTTGTAAGATGTGACCCTACAACCCTTACATCAGAGGTTCTCCAACTTGAGTGCATCAAAATCCCCTGGAAGACTTGCTGTAAAATCCAGGGTATGTACATGGGGCATGGTTAGGCAGGGAAATCCCAGGCCCACGCTCCTGAGGCAGGGTGAGGGAGTGCTGCCAAGGAGCCATGGGTGTACAGCCCAGCAGGGCATGCAAAAGTGTGGCCAAGGTTTAGAGGGGCAAGCTGGCCAGCAAGGCCCTGGTGACTGACCTCTGCTCCAGGTGGGAGGCCATTGGGCCCGACAGCACCATGTGAGCAAGGTGGCCGTATCCTAGCTGACCCCGGACGTGTCCCGCACACCCTTCCATCCTGGACTTTCCAGCCTCTCTGAGCCTCCTTTCCCCGTTGCATTGCTGAGGACCTGCCCTTCTGCTGTTTCCCTACCTACACACTCAGACAGTATCTACTGCAGGAGGTATCTGAAAACTAAGAGCTCACCAGGCCTGAGTCAGTCCCATGAGTTGGCTTCTACTTACACCCATCCCTCCCACCTCTTCATGGGGAAGATCAGGCAAGTTACAGAAAATAGGGAGGCTGCCTGTGCTGTGAAGCCATGTAGCCCAGGGGTACCCTCTCTGACTCTCAGGGCACCAGGTGACATGGGCACACTCACTTTCTCTGTTATGTTAATGGGTGGTGGGGCTGGTACACAGACCAGGCCCAGCTAACACTGGCCCCCACCCATTCCCCACTTCCCCTCCTAAAGCTCCTGGAAGGCACCTGACTTCCTCAGGATCTTGGCCTGCTTCCGTAGCTGGGCTAGCAGCAGGCCCAGGAGCCCCGAGTCCCGGAAGATGTCAGTGAAGAGCGGGTCCCCACCGGCGATCCTGAGGACAGTTTTCAAGGCCACGAGGGCGACGAGCGGCTCTGGGCTCTCCTGGATCAGGCGCTGCACCTTCCGCAGGATCTCATGGGGCACGTAATGCAGCTCAAACACCAGGACCTCCAGCAGCTGGAAGAAGTGCATCTGCACCAGGGTCGGCTTCAGGGGCACGATCTCCACGAACTGCGAGATGGGCTGCAGGGTCCACTCCAGCAGGAAGAAGTTGCGGGCGTTCCAGGCCCACATGGTCCTGATGGATGACAGGACTTTGGTGCAGAGGACAGGGTCACTGGCTTTGTGGAAAACATTCTGCAGGACTTGGAAGGCCTGAAGATTCTTCACGGTCACCCCTGAAGATGCAAAAAAGAAATAATCCTGCAAATCATTTCTCCTGCCTATGCCTAGAAATACATGCTTGCATTATCACGAGGAAATACCATTTAAAGTTTCTATTTTCTAGCTCCTGTGGGTACATGTCTATCAGAAGTCCAGAAAAGCCATATGCCCAGAATGTGAATAAGGCTGGAGTTGCATTGTCCAAGACATGCTGGGTAATTAAGCATTTGAAATGTGGCCACTGTGAACTGAGGCGTGCCCTGAGTGTAAAAATACTCATCAGATTTTCAAGATGGAACACTGAGAAGAGAAGGCAAAAAAAAGTCATTAACAATTATTTGTACGATCACATTTTTTGATGGTAATATTTTGGATATATTGGGTTAAATAAAATATATTATTATTAAAAATAATTTAACCTGTTTCTTCTTAATTTTTAAAATTTTGCTGCTAGAACATTTAAAATTACGTAACATGGCTCGCATTATATTCCCATCGGGCAGCACAGAACTGGAGGATTGGTTTCAATGAATTAAAATCAAATGATGTTAAAGATTACTAAGCAAAGTCAGTTTCATTTCTAGGCAAGCTGTTAAATAAAGACACCTTCCAAACCCACTCCCTCCTTTCTCTCCAGCTAGAAGGTTAAGTCTCATTCTCTCTTACCCAGGAGATACTTCCTCAGAGAACTCCCTGCCTCCAGCCCTCTGTGCTTCAGACGCTCGCTCGAGATGTTTCTGAAACTCCTCTCTAATCCAGCCACTCCCCTGTGTGTCTGCTGCAGTCACATCCAGTGGCTTTTCCTAAACTGGTCTCACAGCTTTGCAGCCTCCACCCTCTGGTCTGCGCAGGTCTCTCTGCCCATCTCCCCAGACTCACCCAGATGTTTCTGGTCACCATTTCTCTCCCCAGGCTGTACCTTCTGTCTTTATATTTCTTCCCCCTCTTTTCTACCTGGATGACCCATCCTTTGCCTTGAAACTTGTCTTGAATGGGACCCTCTGTGCAGGGTTTCCTGACTGACCCAGGCAGAGCTCATTCTCTGCACTGGTGTCGCCACTGTGCCTGTTTATCAGCCAGTTATTGAGTAGATTATGTCTCAAGTTTTGTGTGATGGTCTCTATAGAGAATTTTTAAGGAGCAGACACCTGGCCTCTTCACGGTGGTACCCAGCATGGGGCGGAGTGGCTGCTGGACAGAAATTATCAGTACATGTTGATTGAGTTCATCAATCAATCAGTCAGTATCTTGTAGCGCTAAGGAGGCACTGACTCTGAGCCTGGATGGCTGTTTCAGGGCCATCAGTCCCTGTTAGATAAGCAGATGTTACCAAGTAAGTCACACCTGTGATGGAGATCACAGGCTCCCTCCATTATCTGAGAGAGCCTTTGCCTTTTTAAAGCAAACATTTCGTCTCAGTCCCACCCAGGTCATCTGGAAAAATCTATAAAGGAGAGATTTTAAATCTCCCCAAAGGCATGACAGAATCAGCCCCTACTGTATCACTGACAGTTGCCACATGTTTGTTTCTGCACAGGGAATCAGGGAATGACCTGCACTGCCTTGTCAGGGCACAGTGCCAAGTGCTGTCAGGCACCCAGAGACACCCAATGACCCACCAGAAGCCTCGTGATGGAACTTGAAGCCTTCCAGCTGCGGGTAAGTGATGCTGTCGAACACCTTCAGCTCTGACCTCCCACAGGTTGTCAGCCACACCACCAGCCCAAGGAGCTCCTCTAGGTGGGGGTCCACTTCACTCTGGGTCAGCCCGTCATACCTGTGGGGACAGATGAGGCCAGCTCCCTGGACGTCTTGGACGGAGCAGCCAGGTTTGCTCATGGTGCTCCTTGCAGGGATACAGAGGCAATGGAAATCGCAGTGCTGGGCAAGACCCAAAAGGTCTCCACCAGTTCAGCACCAAAAGATACAGGGAGGGATAAAAGTCACTCTGTTTGCAAGCCTCAGCCCTTGATCTGAGGACGTGCAATTAGAATAAAGAGAAACCTGTGAAGAGCCACAGCATCGGCTCACCGGAAGGCTGCTTTCCGTGGCCAGACCCCCAGAAGTCATGAGCTTAGGGCACCAGCAGGGCAGAAGCACCCCCAAAATGAGGGATTTGATATTTCAGAATGGCAACAATACAGACATCATGGAAAGTAATTGGACTTTATTAGACTTCCTCATGCTTATTTCAAGAGTGAGTATTGTTTTTGTTTCTAATCCTCCCAGGGACTCTGGAAGGCAGGGTAGAGCTATCCCACCCAAGGGGCAAATTTGCTGGGTATGGATCCATCAGCTTCTACCAGTCATTGGTAGAGGGCTGGTCCTGGAGTTGTTGATCTATGGGCACTTCCAACCCCCAAGCATATAGGCAGAGCTGGTCACAGCCATCCCAGAAAGCCCTCCAACACAAGATGTGGATTCTGACAGGTGGCTGTTAGGCCAGCAAGCATGCAGGTGGTACATGCCACCAAATGGACTTGGTAAAAATATTATTGCAATCACCCATTGGTTTCCTAAAGAAGTAGCTCGAAACCTGGCTGTACGTTGATTTACTTTTGCAATAAAAGTCTCTCTGGCCATGCTCTATGGAGATTTGTATTTCAGAAGACATTCTGAGAAGCCCCAATATCTGTCTTTCTCCAAAGCACTGCAAATGATTGTGAGGACCTTGGCTTCCACCGTTTCTTCCCCACCAAGCACAGCCACTTACCGAAGTAACACTTTGAGTAGCAGAGGGTAGCCCTCCCCATTCTCAAACTCCAGGAACAGAGCAGAGGAGACGGGGTAGGAGTCCTTCACAAAGCCCAAGACGAGGCTCACTGCCTCGCTCAACTCGGGAGCAGGGAGAGTGTCTGCAAGCCTGGAGAGGTTCTGGAGGGAGATCTTGATGCAATCCATGGCTGCAGGAAGGAAACACACCCCTGCTGAATTCAAAGGCAATAGCTTTTCTTCAGTGGTCATTCCCTCCCCACCTGCCTTTACACTGTATATCAAGATGTGAATGAGAATTCATTCAAAACACTTTTCTGCTGGCTCTTGGATCAAGAAGAAGCCTCCTCCATGAGAAGTGTCATCCTGAGAGCCACACTCGAGGGCCCAGATGGAGAGCAGGTGAAACAGGAAGTGGAAGGGAGCCTCTAAGCCCTCTGCTCTTAATTCCCAGCACACAGGACAGTCCAGGCCCATTAATAACAAGATGCAAGACACCAGACCTGAGTGTCACAGAAGACCCTAAGGAAGCAATGCTGAGCAGAAACGAGCTTGATGAAAAGTGTAGGGAAGGATATATGAACATGTGGGAAGATGAAGGGCAAAAAGATGTTGTGTATCAGCTACTAAAGAATCCAGGGGGTTGGAGCCGGGAAGTGTGGTCCACAAGGGAGGGGGAGGAAGACAGGCCCCACTGGTATGTGGCCTGCTGTGGAACACACTGGTTACCCCAGAGCTGTGAGAAGCCAGGGAAAGAATGGAGTCAGCAGAGAGATGTCACTGGGTTTGCATTTGGGTGGATCACTGTTTTTAGGGCTCTTTCATTGGGGGAAGCCTCTTCTCAGTGCCAGGAAAGTCACACCAGTGGATCAGGAAAAGTGTCTACCAGAATTTGAGATAAGGCATTCTCAGTCCCTCACCTGCGAGGCCAAGGACAAGTTCCAAACTCTGCATGCCAGACAGGGCAGCACTGAGAGTTGTGGACACCAGGCTAGTCCTTACTCCCTGACCTTCTCCTCAGCCTATACGCCCATGGAAACTACTCATTCCCCTATGGCACAGTGCTTTTGTGGCCAGCTCCTCACTGCGGTGGCATTTTTCTTTTCCAGCTGAGAATAATGACCGCAGTGAGAGACCCCCGCCACCAAGGCAGGCAGCCTTTTCTCAGGGGTCTCTGACTCTAGTCTCTGAGGGGTGCCTGGGATGCTGAGCACCTCAGGCCCAGCTCAGCCCTGCACCATTACCACTGGGCCCTGGCTTCACTGGGAAATTTCAATCTTGAAACTGGGGATGAAGTTTCGTCCCAGGGTTCAATTACAGTAAGAGGGTGGGCTTGTACTTTCCCAGCTCTCACCAGCTGAGACTGTCTATTATAGGAGGCCCCAGAAAGAAGACAGGTCACAGGGCGAGTGTTTGTGGACAAGCAGGTCTAAGCACTTCAAATATGCCAACTCATCGAAGTGTCACAACAATCCATTGAGATCAACGGGATTATGATCTCCATTTTACAGATGAAAAAACTGAAGCACCCAAGCAGTTAAGTGCCCAAGGTCACTCAGCTAGGAGGACAGAGCTGGAGCCCACACCCCAGGCCATCTGGTTCCAGAATCTAAGTCCTTAACCCTTACACATGCTGCCCAGAGCAGAACCTAAGGCACTGGAATCAGGCATCTCCAGGGTTAATATTTGATTCTCTTCTTCACTAGCTGGGGAGCCTTGGCAAATTCTTCTATCACTCAATCTGTTTCCTCTGCTGGAAAATGGCATTAATTATCAACATGTATCTCAAAGAAGCAAATGAGGTAACATACAAATGAGCCCAGCACAGTGTCTGTTCAACAGCATGTGTGTAGTAAATGAGTTCCCCTTTCCCTCTCTCCTCCAGTAGAGCATCAAAATGAACAATAAAGACACTTTCATGAATGGACCCAAGCAATGTAGGGTCACCTACTAGGCATAGTTGGGCATCGGTGAAAATCCTGTTTGTTCATCACTATTTTGGTCCCTGGAATCTATACTGATGCTGCAAGGGCATCCCAAGGTCTTATTCTAGAAAGTGTGCCCACAGCCCAGCCCTGGTCTCCCAGGGTCATACCCTGCAGGTATTGGATGATGCTAAGGTTTTGGGCCTTGGAGATTGCCTTCAGCACACAGAAGGTGGGCTCCTTCCAAAAGGAGCAGCTGTGCTCCCGAAGACACGTCGTGGCAATCACAAGAGACTGGAGCTCGTTTCCAGAGAGAAGTCCCTCCAGACCCTGAGCCTCACCGCAAATGTTGAGCAACATCTGGAAAAAAAAAAGCCAAAGAGACTCTGGTTAGGAAGCCTCCTTCCTGTGATGAATTTGTTCCCCAATTTTCCATGTCTCAGCGGGAAGGATGGGGTCATATGTGGTCACCCTCTGCCCCAAACCAGGGAGATTCAATGCCATTTCCTCAGAAGGGCCTCCATTTATACTCTTGTCCTCATTTCCCAGCACATCTCTCACTTTTCCATCAGAGCACTTAAAAAATTGGACGCTGATCATTTATTCGCACGACTGATCTCCCCGTTTAACTTCTCTGTCTCTCTGTCATCTCTGTGAGAGACCGTGGGTCCGGCATAGTGACGAGCCCAAGAGGAGTTCTCTATATTTTGTGGAATGAAATAAGGAAACCCTGAGGAACTCTGATGTGGTATCACTGTGGCTCACATTGTCCATACATGGAGAGGACCAGGAAGACAGGGCTGTACTACTTCCCTGCAGAGCACATAGAAGCCACACAGTAAAGACTTAAGTACCCAGTACTGTGTCCTGGTCACCACTTAAAATATGATTTATGTGTGGGCATATGACACCTAAATTTCTAACAGATGCAGCTTATGGACAACCCACCATAAGTGGAACCTGCCAGAACTTATGAGATACCCTCTGGTAAAGATGATTCTGGCCTGAAAATTGGTCTAAAATGGATGGGGATGTGGACGTGCATGTTCAGTGGACAGCTGCATCGGCAATCCCCAAATGGTCCGAAGTACCTGCTCTGTGCGAGACCCTGGCCAAGGCACAGAGATGAGTAAGCTACACAGTCCCCCCACCAGAGAGGCAGGAGGAGTCTTCTGGAGAATGCAGCATCCCAAAAGCTGAGAAAGCAGAACTTGTCAGTAAGGGCGCAGGGGAGAGAGGTGAGAAGTTATGTTAAAAGTCGCTGCTGGTCAGAGAGGATAGGAAAGATGGGTAATGACATGAGGACATAGCATGTGATGCTTAGTGGCCTGAGATGGCCTCTGAGAGGAGAGACGGAGGTGACCGCACAGAGAGGTTAAATGCCTTTCTGTGAGCAGACTCAGGAGCCAGGTTCCCAGGGTTCCAATCCCAGCCCCGACCCACCACCTCTGTGACCCTGGACTCATGTTTACTCACCGTACCTTAGATCACAAAACCACACACATCCTGTGGTGGAAGAGAGGGCTCGGGGAGGTGACAGATGTGAGGTTATGGCATAAGGGTGGGTACATAGCAAGTACTTAGAAAATGTTGGCTACAGTTCTGCAAGGGGGCTTAGCATGTTTGTTCTCAGAGGTGCAGGGGCCAGAGACAGGAGGTTCCAGATGTCCGGGAGGGTCGGCGGGACCTTAGAACACAGACTGGAGGACAAGGAGCTGGTGTGGCCAAGCGGGGGAGGAGGAGCACACCGTCCTGGGAGAGAACAAGGGCAATACAAGGATACAGCGAGATGGAGAGAAACTCCATCTTCCAAATGCGTGGGGTTCCCTGGCATTTGCAGAGCCTGGGGGAAAAAGGTGATCTGGACCCTCCAGGAGAATAGAGGAGAGAGATGAAAGGGGGTTGGAGAAGCAGAGCTCGGTCTCGGCCCAAGGGAGTCCAGCCCTCCTCCCACTCACCTGCACAAACATCCTCTGAACTTGAACATCACTCTCAAAAAGCTCATTCTTTCCCAGAGGAAAGACAAAGAAGAGGTAAAGGCACTGGAGGAGCAGGGCTGGGAGCCCCGATTCGGCAACTCTGCCCAGCGTCTCCTGCAAGCGAAGAGCAGACGTGACCCAGGGCCGCAGAGCCAGGCAGAGCACGGCTCCAGACCCAGACCAGAGAGGTCAGCCAGTGCGGCTGTTTTAGCCACGAACGCGGGGAAGTCACTTCCTCTCTCTGGGCGACGCATTCTCAGTTAAGAATGGAGGCAATCATAGGGCCCACTGGGTTGGCTGTGAAGATTAAGTTGATATAAAGTGTGTATTATGTGCTCGATAAACATTATATCTTTTACACAGTAGACAGATGATAGGAAGGAAGGAAAGGAGGGAGGGCAGGAGGGTGGAACTGGTGCAGAGCAGAAATCAAGGGCTTTCCTGGCAATCATACCTCTGATTTTGGTAGGTTTCCTCCTGATGAGGGAACTGGAAACTCAGTAGGGAAGAGGTGGTTGAGAACAAGTACAAGCAACTGAATTAAGGCCATGCTCAGGGCCCTGTCCATCCCTTCGTCCAGATTTAAGACCTCATCATGACCAAAACAGCCCTATAGGTGAGGACCAATAATCCAGAGAGCCACACCACAGCTAAACAGCCCCAGGGCTGCCAGACAGAGAGGAGACAGGGAGTTGGCAGAGAGGGACCAGCCTGAGTGTGAAGCTTCCCAGGGCCTTTCTTCACAGGCTGTGCCTGCAGCTGCACCAGGATTACTGTGGCTGTAGCCTCTACATGCGTGTGTGCACACATACATGACCGTGAGACAGCGCATGCGTGGTTATTAAAAAGTATATTGTCCATGCAATTTCCCACCCGACTGACTAATCTCACAGACATGGTGGGTAAATTAGAAAAGAGAAAAGAAGAATGTACAGCCTGGACCAGCAGCAGGAGTGTAATGCAGGCCACTAGTCCCTAAAAGCTTCCACTGCAGGTAATGTCTGCCCCCATACTGGACATGTGGCCCTGCATGACTGCACTCAGGGTGGCTCTCCCTGTCCTCCAAACTGCACTGCCTCCCCAGAAAGCCAACTGCTTACTCTCTCACTACTTTGGGGGCAGACTCCTCGCAGCAGAAAACAAGGCTTTAGGTTACTTTTTACTCTTCAGACTGAAAACAGTCCTTCTCCAGGGGCTGAAAAGCCCCCACCCTGTGCTCCGGGCCACTGTCCCTGATGGTGGTCCAGGCAGTTTACATGGAAGAAAAGTCAGATGGTCCTCCCACTGGTGAACAACTGTTTGCTGTGCTCCTCTCTCACCTCCTGGCACTGTCTTCAAATGCCTGTCTGATGCCTCTGTTCACCATTAGACAGAGGGCAGCCACCACCCCAGCCTGGTTCCCTGCTGTTCCTAGTCTGGGCACCAGGAGGCTCACAGTGGGCAGCCTCGCTAGATGGAGGAGCCTCTGGGCCTGCCCTGCACAGGGCCTCGGCCACTGCTGCTGATGGCCACAGCTCCCAGGGACTGCTTCTGCCTGAGAGGACACCAGTCATTGGCAAACCACTCAAGGTCCCTGCTTCATGGTGGGAGGCCGTGACTGCAGCCTGCAGGATGGGGCCTGCAGGATGGGAAGGGAAGGAGGAGCGGTCGCTTTCGTCTCTGGGGAGACACGGGGCAGGTGCCTACAGGCCTTGCTCCTTTAGTGTGAATTTAGCCGGAGGTAGTAAAGAGCAGTGGCTCAGAGCACAGAGTCAGACAGACTGCAGCTACATATCACGGGCGAACCTGATTTCTAGTCACCAGCGCAGCATCGCTGTAATCTGACTCGTAGGGTTTGGGGAGGATTAATTAGTACAATGCGTGGGATGCACCCAGCCTCACCCTGACACGCAGGAAATATAGTCCATACACGTCCGTCATTTTTGATCCTCACACTGACCCTAGAATGGAGGCATTATTATCCCCAATTTTAGAATTAACAACACAACAGAGATGCAAAGAGGTCAAGTTATTTGCTCAAGGTTACACACAGCTTGTCAACTGAAAAGGCGGGATGTGAATATGAATTTCAGACTCTGAAGTCCACGTTCTATATCCGAGGGGAAGTAGGGAAGGAAAAATGATAAATCAGTTTCATGAAAATAAAGACACCCTTGAGACATGCCACTGCCCTGAGCTGGGACGTCCCTCTGTACACAGGTGAGAAGCACCCAGGCTGGGCCACTGGGGCCTGGAACTTACCGAATCTGTCCCCGTGAGCACGTACACTGACTTCAGGAGCAGGTAGCCATCCTGCTCTGCATCGGCATCTCCCTTCCACCACAGCAACTGCCCAGCTGCCACCCGTGCTTGCTCTGGCGAGAGTGTGGGGGAGGGGAGAAAGGGTCACCAGCAGGGCAGTGTGGTGGCCTGGTCACCCAGCTTCCCTCCACGTGGGCCCCTCTCTCCATGAGATGTGCCTTAGCGTCTTTAGGGAACTTCTGCCTCTTGCCCTCCCAACAATGACACCTGCATCTGTACCAAACATTTCACTCTCTGCCACATGAATCTCCTTGGAGGATAGCCTTTATCATACCACCCTCCCTGTTCAACAACCATCAATGGCTCCCTATTGCTAAATAATAACAACAAGCTCCTCGGCAATTGGACTTGCCACAATCCAGTGTCTTTTCCCCACTTCCTGTATCACACTGCCCCTTTTGTCACAGGGATTCCTGCAATCTACACCATGCTCAAGCCGTTCCTTCCCCCTGGAATTCCCTCCTGCCCTCAGTCTCATAGCCCAGCCTCTGGGGTCCAGCTCCCTGAGTGGAAGGATGCAAGTCAGGAGACCTGCAGCAGGAAACATGCTTGGCTTTGGTTTCTGTGTGTCTGTGTGTGTATGTATGTGTGTGTGTGTGTGTGTCCCTCCCAGGAGCAGCAGAGTTTCCCAAGTCCCTCTTCTCTTCCCTCTTTTAGCCTTTTCCTTTGTTCTCCAGGGTATTCAGTGGCAGAACCTGGCCTTCCGTGTGCTTTCGAAGTCACTACTCTAACTCCTCTAGAAAGCAGAGAGGGGCTTAGCCGGAGGCCTGGGAGGGGTCTACAGAGCTGTTTCGCTTACGGTGAAGCTCTCCAGGACCTCTCTTCTCTCACCTGCAGGCTTTCCCACCAGTGCCTTCTGTATCTCCTGGGCAAGTTGGTTGGAAACGTCTTCAGCCAGCCTTTGGAGACTGGGAAAGCAGATGATCCCCACGGAGTGTTCCCAGGCCTGAAGCGCAACATGCAGGATTCGCTCAGAGATGTCAAAGCTACAAAGCAAGGCATCAGAATCACCTCCTTCCCTCCCTGCCAGCCCAAACCAGTGGCTCAACTCGCTTGAGCCAGGTGCAACCAAAGGCCACTGAATCACCTACCCTCCAGCTTCCACTGTCTCCCTACCCTAGTGCCTATGAATTCTTCAACTTCCTGCTGAGCTCCAGACACCTCCAACTGGCCCCTGGACGTCTCCCCTGAACTCGTGCTCCTGAAACATCAAACACACATAACTGAATCCACTGCCTTCCCCCCAGACCTGCTGCCTCCTGCCTCAGTGAATGTCCCTACCAGGCACCCACCTGCCCTAGTGGGAAATTCCAAGAGTGATTCTCTACATCCCGCGTCCCTCCCCTTCCTCACCATCAGTTGCTGTGTCTCACTGATTCTCCTCTTACACACTTGTCAAACCTCATGCAGATATCTTAGTTTTAGTCATGCAAGTATTTCCTTCAGATAAATTCTAAAAAGGATTAATTTAATCCTACAATTAATTTAATTGTAGGATTAAAAATGTGGGATTTTCAATTAAAAGAGTGGGTTTTTTTTCTCTTTTTAGTGATTTGGTACCTATTACTAACTACTAACTCACTCTCCAGAAACAATTTACCAGATTAGCCTCCAAGGGCTCCATGGAAAAGGGCTGATTTCTCTCCACCCATGCCAACGTCAAGCACTATGGTCTATGGTGCTTTTTCATCTTAAATGAGAAAACTTGTAGAAGAAAAAATATCTCATTTCAATTGCAATCTTTGGATAACTAGAGTGGATGAATGCTTTTCATGCCTCTTGAATTGTCCATTTTTACTCTTGGCCTATTATCCTATTGGAGTTTTCACTATTTTCTTATTTATTTCAAAAATCTCTTTATATATAAAAATCGTTAACCATTGGTCTATAATACTATCTCGATTTTTTCGAATTTGTCATTTCATCTTTAAATTTGGTATTGTTTGGTTTTGCTGTACAGAAATCTGAAATTCCTATGAAATGAAATTTCTCAGTCCATTCCTTTGCTTTCTGGATTTAGTTACAAGCTTAGGAAATCCTTTCCGAGTCCAAGTTGCTGTCATTGTTTTTAATCTCCTATTTCTTTTTAATTTCCTTAAAATCCTTTCTTATCTGTCCCTTTAATCTCTATCCCATCTGCTCATCATTTTCCTCAGACTTTTTCCCCTTATTGTTTAGGATACTGTTTAATAGAAGTCTTTTACAGTTCTGCTTGGGATGCCAGACTCTTTTCAAAATTTCCTCCCAGTCTCCGTAGTAATCCTATCCCTAGATCTGCTTCTCACGCAGAGCCTTTTCCCTCTGTTCTCCCTTCTTGTCACAGGCTGAGTACAGAGTGGAGTGACTGTCCTCGGCCCCAGACTTGAGTTCCTGGCAATTCCTGATCCCAGGTTCCCACCAGGAAGGTAAGCTGCTGTGCCAATTAGTGGCCTCTATGAAATGTAATTTTGCTGCACTCCTGACTCCTGCTCCCACTCACCAGCCTTATTAAATTATGTTCCTGCCCAGAGGCCTGGCCAAGTTTTTTTAAGCTGAGATCCTCCTTTAGAAGGGGTGAGAAACACATAAAATTTCCAAAGGGAAATCATTTTCAATATGTTTCCTTGCAATAGATACTACCTACATTTGTTTAAAAGTAAAAACCTTTAAAACTCTTCTCTATGTGAAAAGACACCATACACAAAATGAGGAGGCAAACCACAGATGGGGAGAAAATATCTGCGATGCATATAACTGACAAAGGACTGGTATTTAGACTCCTATAAATTAATAAGAAAAAAATCTGATTTTTAAAAAATGGGCAAATGAAACAAGTAACTTATTGAAAGATAAATGGCAAATTACTAATAATCAGGAAAATGCAAACTATAACTGCAAGGAGATATTTTATACTTTTCTGCTTAGTAAAAATGAAAAATCTGCCAATATCAAATGTGGGTGAAGGTGAGGAACAATGAAACCCCCATACTCTATGATGGAGTGTCACTTAGAAGAACCTCTTTGAAGAAGCATTTAACGTAATCCAATAAAGTTAAAAGGGCACACATCCAAAAACCCACCAATTCCAATCTTTGGTTTAGTCCCTAGAGAAATGCACACATGCACAAGGTGACGTTAACAAGAAATATTCATGTAGCGTTATTTTTGATTGGGAAAAACAACGTTCATCAATAGGATAATGAATGAATAATTTGTGACATATCTATATAAAGATATCATATAGAACTGAAAAAGAAAAATAGAGCTGTATCAATATGGATAAATCCCCAAAATAGAATGTTGTGGAAAAAGCAAATTGTAACAGCATATTACAGTATGAGTCTACAAAAACCTGTGAGACTATACATAAATTACACAATAATATTACTTATGGTTATAAAAATACACCCATATTACTGTATAATTTACATATAGTCTCACAGGTATTTTAGAATGATACTGTAATATACTTCTGTAACTTGCTGTCTCTCTATATATCATTTCCCACAGGGCATGATAATTCAGCAGGTTGGGAGTTACCATTGGAGGAGGGTGGAAGTGGAATGAGTTCTAGAATTCATGCACAGGTGGCTTTAGTTTATCTGAAATGCTTCATTTCTTTTATATGGGTGGTGAGTACTTGGGTATTTTGATTTGAACAAAACCTTGTATCTGAAACACTTAAACATTTTCTGCCCTATAAACGAACATAGTCGCACCTTTCCTTTGTAAATAAAAAAGCAGTACATCAGAACTTTGCTAGAACTACAAAAATACTAGGTGAATGTTAAATACTATTATACATGGTAGACCTTCACCAAATATTTGATAAGCAAACACATGACTATGAGACCCACAGTGTGCAGAACGATGGCCGAATGTGTTGCGGAGCGCTGGTTTTGTGCCAAATGCTGGGCCAAGCACTGACATGCATTGTTTCCACTAATCTGCATAGGGATTGGGATTATTATTATTCCCACTTTACAGAAGCAGAGGCTGAGCCATAGGGTAATCCTAGAGAACCAGTTAAACAGCAGAGTAAAGAGCTGAGTTATCTCACACATACACAAGTAGCATATGCATGTCTAAGAAATGTATGGCTACCACCTGGAAACCAGCTATCACCTGGAAAGGTTAATCTCTGGAGAGATAAAGTCAGTCCTTCTGGCTGGGAATTTCAGTGGTAACATTATTTCCCTCCCCAGGACTGATATCATATCTGCTATGATATCTTCCTAACAAATTCCTGTGCCTCCTCCCTGCAGTGGCAAACCCCTCAAAGACCAATTTGCAGGGAGTTGACTCAGAGGCATGGAGATCATCTTTGAGCAGTGGGACTCCAGTAGGCATTCTGCAATAAAGCAAATCGGGCCACTGTGAGTTGAACAGTAATTGTACGCTCAGCCAGATTCTCCCAAGGCTCACACTCCTTCCTGGGACCAAGATGGCTACTTCTGGAGGCCCCATTAACTCTTTCAGGCCACTGGGGTGCTGTTTGATGCACAGAGGCAATCATTTACTGAATGCTACCGTGGAGACCCCAAAGAGTTACAGCAGCTTTTGAAAGGAACTAATTTTTTTCCCAAACTGGGATTTTCACGCTGGGAGAATATTGTTCAATATTTTTAAAAACTTTTATTTACTTTTATTCTCTAAACTGCACCATCATGCCTCGTGGCTGTCCCCTCACATGGAAGAAAGAGAAAGAAAATGATGCTCTGGTCTCCAGGGCATAAGGAAGACAGAAGCTCTAGAGGAGATGGGAGAAAACCCCAGCTTTGAATGACAGAGAATCTGGTTAGTTTTCAAGTGTGACTGCAGTATTACTATTTCTTCATTGCCTCAGAGTTTGGTGGTTTGACCTTTAAGTGAACTCAAAACATTTCAGAGACTTTACATGAGTTTCCCCTGATAATGTGACACAATTGATTCTCTCCTTTGTAAACAGAAAAAAAAAAAAAAGTGATGCATCAAAACTTTACTAACATAACACAAATATTGTTCCCCTGAGGAGGGAATAAACCATACTGCAGGCCCCACTCTGAAGTGGGTTAGAGTCAGGGATGGACAAGAAGGGGTATTTACCATCACCATCCCCTCTGGATACCACACTTGGAAATAACTGTTGGTCATCCCTATTATTATATTTAATGTTACTTCTCTCTCTTCCATAGTCAGTTGGGTCCATGCTGGGTTTGTATGAGAATAATTGACCACACCCAATGGTATAAACTCTGTACCACTGGCCAGGCAGTTAGCCTAAGAGTAGCTATACACACCTGTGTACATGCACATGTACACACACACACACACACACAAATACACTCATCTCCAAGTACAACTGATTTAGTGTTAATTCTAATCCCTCCACACTAGGAAATAAATGGATTCCTGTCCATGTTACCTACTGTTCTGATTATCTATTGCTGTATAACAAACTGGACCCAAATTGAGTGGCTTAAAATAACAGCAATCATTTATTTTTCTCACGGATCTGCAATTTGGGCAGGGCTCAGCAGGAACAGCTTTCCTCTGCTTCACCTGGGGCAGCGGACAGGGGCTAAGAGATCCATTTGCAACATGGCACACTCACATGGCTGGCCAGTTGTGCTGACTTTCAGCAGCAAGTGCAGCTGCAAGGTCAGTGGGTTTGGTTTCTCTCCACATAGGCTTTTACTCGGGGCTGCTTGGGCTTCCTCACAACATGGAAGCAGGGTTCTAAGTATGAGTATTTCAAGTGACAGAGAGAGGCTACAAGTCTCTTGAGGCCTGAGCCCAGAAATATCATTTTTGCCCTATTCCATTAGTCAAGCCATCACAAACCCATCCAGATTCAAGGGGAGGGGACATAGATGTCACCTCTTGAAGGGAGCAGTGTGAACCCATCCGCAGTATCTCTAACCTACCACATCCACAGATTCCCTTTTTTTCCCATGTAGCCCCACCCCCCAGGTTGTCTGTCCCAGACAGTGAGGAATTTTACACTAATTTCTAAGGATTCCCTGTCTCGCTGCCTGCTTTCTCTCAAAGTACATATTCTAAGAACAATCTTCAACCGCTACATCTGTAGCTCTAGTTTTCTCCATCTATTATTACCCAATATCTCTATGCAACGAGAGGACCCAAGTGGTCCCCTTTCCCCCAAAGCAAACTCAGCTGAAGGCCAACAGGACCTACCCATGCTTGCTAGCAGAATGCCTTCTTCTCTTGGTGTAAGATCTTATGATAGGGAAGGGTTCTAGAAAGACCAAAGCCCAAGGCTCTTGGCAGAGAAAGAGTAGCAGTCAATTGAATCCTTCCTGCAAGCACTGCTCTGCACTCTGGTTACTTCAGAGTGGTTACTCTGAAGTCATTGGCTTTGTGCTGCTTCCTGTGTGATGCAATAAAACCTCCTCCTTGTCTGCAACATCCTGGAGTCAGCTAAACAAACAGCACATGTGCAGGGGGTGGCATCCTTTTTGTATGAAAGGGGACATAGGTACGAGCCAGGCAGAGCCATCGCACAGTGAGTCATGAGATAGGGAAAGAAACCAGATGTGCTCCGTCCTATGGACCTCAGCACTGCCCGAGGGAACGCAATGGTTAACAACATGAGCCTGGGTGGACTGCCCAGGTTAAGTTCTGCTCCCCACTAACAGCTGGCTGACCTTGGCCAAGTTATGCAACATCTCTAAACCTCCCTTTCCTCATTTATAAAGCTGGGATAAAAATAGCACCTACTTCACAGGGTTATTATAAGGGCTTGTAAGCATGGAACAAAATGCCTGGCTTAGTTAATTAGAGCTTGGTGAATATTACTACCTATCATCAGTGAAAGTAACCACTTGCCCTGGCTTTGGCCTAGGAAAGGGAGTGATGGAGCTTGGTAGAGGAGGAGAGCCTGCAGATCCCAGTGAGAACTTCATTTCTGACTCATCCCCTCAGGGCAGCTCCCTGCTGGGATACCAGTGCCCTGAGACTTCTTAACACCAAGACAGTCACCAAAATGTTGAGTGGGTTTACTCCTTAACAACTGCAGTGTTTCTTCAACTTGGGAGGCAGTGGGGCTAGAATTTACTATAGAACCAACCAAGCCCCTCTTTGTATTTGCCTCATAGTAGATGCAGATTTATGTATAAACAATGACAGGATAAGGGAGAAGTTCATCCCCTGCTGTGTGTTTGGAGGTATCAGACATTAATCGGCCACATGCCATGGGAGACGGCATGACTTTTTTTAAAGCCCTGATATTTCTAAGGGGTTCTCTGCAGACAACCTTGAAGAGTTCTGTTTCATGGGTATAAAATTCAGAACAGAGTGGTTACAAGCTTGACTTCTAACACAGGGACTTGTATTCCAATGGCTGTCCTCAGTCTTCATCTACAGCTCAGATTTTATCTGCACTACAACCCCCCAAAACCTCCCACCTTCCCCATGTTCCTTTCTGCTACCAGCTCTTAATTAAGAAGCCTGAGGGCTGTGGTTCTGGCAGGGTTTATTAGTCAGAACTTAATAAGAACAACAGGTTTGTAAACGTATAGGACTTAATAAAAGATATAGATTTTAAGAAAATGATAAAAAGCCTGTAATAATCTGCCTCTACAGGGTTCATCAGAGGTGGGCTCCAGGGATCCAAAACATAGCAGATTTTGTCAGCAGTTTGGGGAATCGTGGTGACAGGATCTCAAACTGCACATGTGCAGTCAGTTTCCAGGAGGTTGGTGGAAAGGTGATGGGGATCATGTCTGCTTTCCATGTGCTGTGGACTTTACAATCCTCATCTGATCTCACCCTCACAGTCTCCCAGCAAATTGGTATTGATTCCACTTTACAGATGAGGAAACTGAGGCTCAGTAACATTTAGTAGCTTGCTCAAGGATGCACAGCTAATAAGCAATGGAGCTGGGACTGGAGCCCTACTGTTTGACTCTAAAGCCCATGTATTCAGCAATAGGGCTGTTGTTCCTCCTTTTACCAGGACAGGGTTTGGGAAACATGGACCAATACCAAGGTTCAGTTATAATAGGAACAGCTTGCTATCCATGAGGTCAATGCCTACAGGGTCAGATAACATAAATGAGTGATATGGGTTGGGTGAAAGATATTAGGGAGTGGGGGACTAGGGTAAACTGAGAGACCAAGACCATCTTCTGTTTAAAAGAGGTGCCCCCAACCATCTCCATCCAATTATCAGTATTACAGCTACAAATATTTTCAAGAGAAATCTGAAGTCTAAGTCTCACCTGAAAAGTTTCCACTTTGAAAAAATGGCACTAATTCATTTTTAACCCCTACAAGCCAAACAGAACACATTCTGGGTGCTAGTCAGTTATCCTCTGCTCTGGACAGATGCAGGTAAAACCTCTATCTGTCGTCCTTACTTTCATAGCACCAGGCCCTAGAACAGAGTATAGGAGCTCAATAAATATTTGTACAACAAATGAATGAATTCTCAAATCAACAATCTGTAGAGAGGCAAGGAAATATCAAGCCCTGGCTCTCAGATGCAGAGTCCTTTCATCAGAGCTAGGGCTGCCCAGAGGGGTGGAAAAGATACAGTGCAGTGGCTGGACCCCATATGCCTTCCCAGTGATTTGGGGGGGAGGGGGCAATGCTCACATTTTTCCTTTTATAAGGCAGATTTGATCTGAGAACTGGGTGAGACAAAGCTACCTCCCAGAAGCTGGGGTCATTAGAGCAGGGATGGCTGGGAAGGAGAAACCTGGCCCTCTCTCCTTATCTAGTTCCTCTTTTCCAGTATGTTCCCCATGCCCCAGTTATCCAATCTGTGAAATGGGTTGGATGGAGTATCCGAATCTGAAACATGGAGAAAATCAATGAATTCACGGACAATAAGTTACTTGGCAATTTTTTACAGAAAGGCATGCTTAAGTATTCCATGCATCCTATAAATATGATCCCAAGAAAATTCTGAGTCATCTTTGGAAATCCTTAAGTATTCCTGGTTAATAAGTGAGATGAAACATATTAACAAAGGGGTTTCCCAATAAAAACCTGCAAAGCCTCCATCTGTTCTAGTTTACTTTCCAATGTGAAAAGTATCTCATATTCTCTGTACTTTGAATGTAGGTACATGGTTTTTGTACTAATAACCCAAAATCAATAGTCAAGCAAAAACTAAGTCTTCATAAAAAGACGCATTTCCAGCTCTACAATTAGACTTCAATATTTTCAGCTATAAGGCAGACCTCACTGGCAGGAGCTTTATTCCAAGACAATAAAGGAAATCCCTTGTACCCAAACTGTCACCAGCTGCCACTAGTCAGAGTGCCAGCCCAGTGGACAGGCTGGACTTCTCTTGTGTGTCTGCAACCAGGGGAGGGAGCACTGCTTTGCTGCTCCCATGGATTACACCTCAGTTTGCATTCTTGGCACAATTTATGTTCCGGCTCTCCCAGGCCCTGGTGTTGGCATTACTGGTGTTTGAGGTTACCAGCCACCCTGCCACTCACATGTCAGGACACAGATGCCCTTCTAGCTCCCGAAGGTGCAGGTTTCTCCTCTGGCTCCCAAGCTGGGATTGAAAATATCATTGTTAAACAATATCATTTTTTTAAACTAAAGAGACAATGGTACTCAAGAGCCAACTGTCCATCATTTCCAAGCCCATCCTCACCCTGGAGATGAGTCTTGCTTGCTATCTTTATTAAATAGCACAACACTCTCCTCTAAGCAACCAGTCAGAGACTACTTGTGATGATATTAAAACTACTGACTCCAGCTTCCAATCATCCCAGAAGTGTCCCCAGAGTGCTGTATCATCTTTTTACAGTTTCAAAAATGAGAACACCAACCTTTAGGAATAGTGGGAGAAGATTCAACAGGCTCTTCTGATGTTCAGCTGGGCTCCTGGGAGCCAACTGCTGGTATTCCAGAAACTTCCTTTCTAGCATCTCCCAGAGGGCAGTGGGGCCAGGGGTCTGCCCTCCTGGTGGGAAATCAGGCTGAGCAGCATCAGGCTGGCCTTTATTTTCAGAACCTGGATCCTCAGCTCTGTCTTCAGCCTCTGAGACCTCTTTTGCCTCCATGCCTCAGCAAAGCAGATCTGAATTCAGAGCAAAAAAGAAAAATGAACAGTCCTGTCACAACACTTTCTGATGAAACTGATTGTGGGACAAGGTACCATCCTCATTCAGTCCAGTTCCTGTTGCAGATGGTTCCTCTAAGAATCTGAAACTGACTAAAATAAGGAACGCTTCTGAAAAAAGAGATTCCAATTTAGATGTGACTCATATTGACAATCTAACGTTTGCCAGGCACCGTCCTGGGCTCTCTACACAGACTCTCTCACGAAAGAGATGGGTTTTCCTATTTTTTCTATGTAAGTAAGGAAACTGACTGAACCAACAGGCACCAGGGTAGTGAGACATGCAGTTGCAATGCAAGCCTTTAACACCAAAGCCTGTTTTTTGATTACTTGACACTGCTTCTCTTTAAAAAGGCTGAGTAAATAGAACAGACGTGTAAATGTCCCACCAATATTTGTAGAGGCATGTAATTCTGTATCTTCTATTTTAACTTCCTTCTACCACATGAGATGAAAAGGATGTAAGTTCATTCTCAGCAACATTTGCTTCACACTCAATATTTTTAGAGGAATTTGTCCTCAAAATGACTCTTTAAACCCCCAAGTTAACTTAAAAGGACTTCTCTGTTAGTGCACACAAAAGTAATGTGTACGAGCCGGGGACCCAGGGTCAGTAGGCGTGAGGATAGGGACATACACCATGAAACTGGCCAAAGCCTGATTTACCAGATAGGTAACCTTGAGAAGGTACCTTTATTTGTGTCCTTGACTTTTCAATTGTCATACTCTGTAGCCACGTCAGGACTGACTCACAGAACAGCAAAGGTTTGCCTGTTGTTTTTTTGTCAGGAGTGCAAGAAACTCCCAGCAGGGACCAGAGTGTCCAGGTTCCCTGAAAGAAGCCTTCCCAGGCCACGATGTCACCACATAGGTGTCCATCCCGGCATGCTGCCAGCAACCGAGAGCCACCAGTCAAGGGACAGCAAACAGACAGATCGACACGGAGGTGGGTCTCCCGGTGTTTTGCCCTGCGCTAAGCAGCTGTGGAGGTGTGTCATGCTTTATTTTTAGCCCAAACACACTCCCCTTGCAGGCTAGAATGGGAGTTAACTAAGGGTCACGTGGCCAGATGAGTCCTCCCTCTTTGGAACATTCTCACCCTTTAGGTACAAAACTCCATGAGTCCCTGGCTCTTCTTCTATCACACATGCTTATTGCTCTCAGACTTCATTTGCAGAAGTCACTTTCTTATACAAAAGCCATGTATGTTCAGCATTGAAAATTGGGAAGAAAAGAAAATATCAGGAAGAATATCAAGGCCTATATCCAGAAAAATGACTGTTGATATTCAGGCTTTTATCTACGAATAGACTGTTCAATAATATTGTTGAAGCAAACTTTTTATCTGTACTTTTGATTTTTTTGGTTGGTTGTCTGGGACTTGGTGCAGGTTTATTTGTTTCCGTTTTGAGGTTGACCCTCAGGGACAGGTGGCGGGGTGCCTCACATCTCTCAGTCTCAGCATGGTCTCTTTCCTGACCAGGACCAGGTTCTTCTCTGGCGCTGATGGTTTATTCATTCTTCCCTTGGCTTTTCATCCCCCAGCCCCGTCTTCCCCACCCCACCCAGCCCCCCTGCTTGATAGCACGAGTCCTCATAAAACATGGCACGGGAACATGATTTCTGGATGCACCATTTTAAGTTCCCCGAACGGCCTTCTGCATCTTTTCTCAGCTTTACTGTCTCACTCAACATTACGACCTCAGACCCAAGCACGTGGCTCTGTATTCGTCAACCTCATTTCTTCTGACCGCTGCTCCGTGTTACACAGTGGGCATCACGTGCCTATTTGATTTGTTTGCTCCGCAGTAGATGGTCAGATTGCCTGAGACTCCTCAGACTGCCCTCCATCCTGTCCTGGACATTCCCACGAGACTCCCCTCATGGGGCTGCATGTGACTGACTCTGGCTATAAACACCAGAGCGGGAGTGCTGAGTCAAGGGTGTATGTCTCTCAGTTCAACCAAGTACCATCAACTCAGATGCCTCCAGAAAGCTGGCACCAGGCCACACTCCCCCCACAGGCTCCTCTACCATCTTCTCTATACCCCTGCTTAACATCACATTGCTTTCTAATGTTTGCTGATCTGATTGAAGTAAAGTGATCCCTCATTTTTTTTTTTTTTTTTTGGCTGCATTGGGTCTTCGTTGCTGTGTGCAGGCTTTCTCTAGTTGCAGTGAGCAGGGGCTGCTCTTCGTTGTGGTGCATGGGCTTCTCACTGCAGTGGCTTCTCTTGTTGCAGAGCGCGGGCTGTAGGCACGCGGGCTTCAGTAGTTGTGGCACATGAGCTCAGTAGTTGTGGCTCACGGGCTCTAGAGTGCAGGCTCAGTAGTTGTGGCGCACGAGCTTAGTTGCTCCGCGGCATGTGGGATCTTCCCGGACCAGGGCTCAAACCCGTGTCCCCTGCATTGGCAGGCGGATTCTTAACCACTGCACCACCAGGGAAGTCCTGATCCCTCATTTTAATTTGCTTCTCTCTCACTTACTAATGAGTCTGAGCCTCTCTTCATATGACTCATACATAGCCTTTTGGATTTCCTCTTCTGAAAAATGATTACTCATAACCTTTGCTTATTTGTCCTTGCCTATCTTTTTCCTGTTGCTTTGAGCGAGTATATTTTAGAAACTGATCCCTTGTTGCATTTAAAATCGCTAATACCTTCTCTCAATCCATTGTTTCCCTCATAAATTAGTTCATAACTTTTTTTATGTCACAGAAAAGTATTGTGAATATTTTCCATGTTGTTAAAGATCCTCTGCATCTTCATTTTTAATGGTGTGTGGTGGCTGTAGAACCATGCTGATCCTTTATTTAAGTAATCCCCTACATTTAGGCATTTAAGTCATTTCCAATGCTTCACTACTATAAACAACACTGTGACGATAGACCTCGTGTCTAAGCCTTTCCATATATTCATGATTAAATACCAGATTGCAATACATTCCTAAAAGGAAATTAGCTTGGTCTAAAGAGAGGTAAAAATGTTAGGCTCTGGACACGTATTTCCAAACAGCTTCTCCCGAAACACCTCATCAATGTACAGTCTTCTTTCAAGCATGTACCGGAGTCCATACTTCCTTCGTTACCATTTTTTAATTCTTGCTGATTTAATGGGTAAAAAGCAATGGCATCTAACAGGCACATGAGAAGATGCTCACCATCGCTAATCATCATGGAAATGCAAATCAAATCCACAAATGAGGTATCACCTCACACCTGTCAGAATGGCTGTCATCAAAAAGAAGCCAATAACAAGTGTTGGCCTGGATGTGGAGAAAAGTGAACCTCGTAGACTGTTGGTGGAAATGTAAATTGGTGCAGCCACTGTGGAAAACAGTATGGCGGTTTCTCAAAAAACTAAAAATAGAACTGCCTTATGACCCAGCAATTCCACTCCTGGGTATATATATCCAAAAAAAAAAAAACCCACTAATTCAAAAAGATACATGCACCCCAATGTTCATAGCAGCATCATTTACAGTTGCCAAGATATGGAAGCAACCTAAGTGTCCATCAACGGATGAATGGATAAAGAAGATATATATATACACAATGGAATACTACTCAGCCATAAATAAAGAATGAAAATTTGGCATTTGCAGCAACATGGATGGACTTGGAGGGAATTGTGCTAAGTGAAGTAAGTCAGACAGAAAAAGACAAATCCTGTATGATATCACTTATATGTAGAATCTAAAAAATAAAACAAATTAGTGAATGTAACAAAAAAGAAGCAGACTCACAGATACGGAGAACAAACTAGTGGTTACCAGTGGGGACAGGAAAGAGGGAAGGGCAATATAGGGGTAGGGGAGTAAGAGGTACAAACTATTAGGTATAAAATAAGCTACAAGGATATATTGTACAAGACGGGGAAAATAGCCAATATTTTGTAAGAACTATAAATGGAGTATGACCTTTAAAAATTGTGAATCACTCTATTGTACACCCGTAACATATAATTTTTAAAATTTTTTACTTAGAAAAAAAAACAATGGCCTCTTTGTTGTATCTCACTACGTATTTTGTTGGATGCGTTTCTGTCTGTCTGCTGCTCAGTGTCCTTCCAGACTCCCCACAACAGTTTTCTCGTTTCAGACAGATGCCACATGTCCTCATTTCAAAAGTTTACTGTAGAAGACCTCAGCTATTCCCCAGCATTAATTACTCCCGAGAGCCACATATCCACTAAATGTTAGTTCTGTGCAAGAAGACCACTGTACCTTTATCAGGGGTTGGCACAGAGTAGATGCTCAATAAACTGTTACCATATACATGAATAAATGAATGAATGAACCTATATGCTGATGGCACCCAAATCTCTCACTATATATAGCCCAGACTCCTCTTCTCAATAAGTTCTTTTTCTACTTGGATTCTCCCCAGACTCTGAAAGTCATTATGTCTCAGCCAGACCGACATTCCCATCATCAACAGAGCCAGCCCAAGTCCAGCACGGACATCCCAACACACAGGATGGTGGCTGGAGCCAAGCTAAGCTTGTTTCTATCACATAAAAGTCATTTTGGGGCTATCCCAGCAGGTGCTACTAACCGATTCATTCAATAAAATGAATCAGAGGGCCTGCTAACACACCACGTTTCTAGGAGAAGCAGGTGAGAAGACAAAGTGAGTGTTGGGACACAAGATGCGAAAATGTGTTCCTAGGGAACACAGCTGGACGCTCAGGGGAAATATCAGAGCCCCTCAGATCTCCTCTGAAGTTAAGAAGCCATGTTTACTGAAGTGAGACGCTTGAATCATGTTCCCTTGAAAAGACAGATTTTTGAAAAACAAGAATTTCTAACAAAATGGGATCTGTGCATCCCGTGGAGAAGTTGTATGTCTCAGATGTCAAGCTGTGGCCATCCCCTCTCCTGTCCTGTAGGCCTGCTTCGGTTTTGTTTGTAAAAGGAAGGACGTGGGGAGTAGCCTCTCAGGGCTGCATAAAGAATG